GAGCTGTGTTAGTGGGGGATTTACTTGCCTACCATAACACAATTTTCTCCTTTGATTGACTTTTCCTTGTGCCTTATAACTGAGCTTAACACCTTTGTTTTTCTGGAAGACCTATTTGGGTTAGGAACCTTTTAGCTTGACCCTCCCTAAAATTCTACATCACTATCTTCAGATGTTTTTAAATTGCCTAGTCTTACATACACTGTAGGAAGAATAAAAATAATGGCATTAGGTGTATTATAACAAATGTTCTAAGTTGTTAAACTATAGAAATAGTAATTGCACAAAATGTGGTTATGTTCCTGGATATTCCAGGAACCATATCAGCCAAGAGAAACCAAGTTTTCTCCTTACCAGTTAAGCCATAATAGCTTAATGATAAAGGGCTATACAAGAAAGGACAATATAGTAAAACCTGGCTAACAGCCTCCTCATTTGAAGGAGAACATCCAATTGTATATTTACCACCAACAGTAATTGACACTGTTCATGTTAAAATTGCCTTTAAAGACCCTTTATTAGCTGTGATGGGACCTGCCATAGCTCAAAGCCTCAGATAGACATCAGATTGTTTCAGAATCCAAAGAAAAGACTTGTCTCATCTCATTTTCCAAGTCTGGGATGGATAGCTTTATCCTGCCTTTCCTTTGGGAGCCTAAAAGTGCTTTCATAGGGATCTGCCTTCATTGTATCCCCACCAGAGCAACTCTGTGAGATGGGCTGCATTGAAAGAGAGGGGCTGGCCCAACATCAACCAATTAATTTCCATGGTAGACTTGAACCTGGGTCTCCCTGCTCCTAGTCCAACATCTTTACCGCTACACTGTACCACACTGGCTCTGGGTATTTCCTATTAATATAATGGAGAAATCAAGAAATACTTTTTGGGGAGAGTTGAATGAACTTTGCTGGAAGAAAGTAACTGTACAAATTTCTTGACATAAAGGGATAGCATCCATAGGAGCACTATCCACCTTCCTCAACAGGCAGGCATTTTTACCTGGTCAGAGTTCTGAATGCGTTGCACTTTTCTGGAGAGGGTGGAACCAAGCACCAGATGTAGCCCCTCAGTCAGTGTGAAAGCTGCTGAGGCATCATGTTACCTAGACCTGTCTGACAGAATTCAGATACTCCGCTAAAAGGGACAAAGATGGAGAAAGCCAGATCCTTGGTATTGGTAAATCTAGAGCAATCGATTCCAATAAAGGAAGTGTGTAGGAAGAAGGAGCCAGACTAAGAGAAATTCTCCTGCCCCAAAATATACTTCACTCATTGCAGGTTCTACTGATACCATCTGACATCAGAAGATTAACTTTAGATTTTATCAAAAAGAAATAATGCAATCTAATGAAACAGTTGCTAAAATTTTTATTTTCATATTTTTAAATGGCAAAAGGTGGACATTATAATATTTGAATTAGCAGGGCTTCATGTTGAACTTTTTAAAAGCATGTTATTTGATGAAGGCAAGCCTTACTCCACTTTTTTCTTTCTTACAGTGCATCAATATGTGGTAGATCTCATATACTTCTTAAAAGGCTTGCCACAGACTACATGTTTTTGTGCAATTCCTGAAATTAATCTGATGTAGAAGTACAACGTGTCTTTAGCAGTTCTATGGGGTGCCAGAATATTAACAGTGTGTGTCTAGGTGTTTTGTTTAATAATTTGCTCTCAGTTGCTGAGAAATATATTTTCTCTTTTAAATACCAGCTACCATCCTGTAAAGAGAGAGTTGGAAACAGAGCTTGGAAATTCCACTGGGCTGGGAAACGAAAGGCAAATCTATAAAAGTGTTTTGGAAGGAGGAGATATCCCACTGCAAGGGTTGAGCGGCTTGAAGCGTCCATCCAGTTCAGCATCCACAAAAGGTAAGTTGGTAAAGCATAGTTCCTTGAACTTGGTTGGTGGCCAAATTATAAAGAGTAAATGCATAAGGTGGTGTTGCACTTCTGGAATCAGGATTCCAGATGTCATAAATAGTTGGTGGGGTTTGTAGCCCTAGAGCCAAGGTGCGTCAAGTGAATCACTGCCCCCCACCCATTTAAAGGTTTTGACTAAAGCATGAGATCTGTGGCAGTTCAAGAATGTGGTATCTGCTGTTGCTGCTTCCAAAGCTGAACTAGGACTGAACTAGGACTTTAAATTTTGATTGACTCCTGTTTTTGGATGGATGTTCCATGATCCCTAACAAGGCAAATGGTCCATAAATAAAGCTCAGCTCAGCCTTGAAGAAGCTGCTAAACTAAAATGGTCCTTGGGATTCCATTTCCCGCCTGCAAAATTCCTCCCAAGGTCTTTCCATACAGAGAAGGAAAATGCTTTTCTAGTTATCTGTTCAGAAACAAGACATTTTCCTAATGCACAAAACTTTACATATTCTCCACTGAGATCAGATAAGCATAATCACTGCTTGGCAGTTCTCTGGGGACACAGTTAAACTTCTTTTCTTCAGTGCCATTGAAAAAGCCTGCTCCACATAGGAACCAGACTTAGAGCCATGAAGGGCCACCTTCCAAAATCAGGCTTAACCTCTTGGACTACTGTTAAAAAACATCTCTCTCTTGCAAAATGCTCTCCATTTATTGTAGTTGGTATAGGGAGGAGCTGTGTTTGCTTTAAGGTGACTGGAAAGAATAGCAATCAGTGAAGAAATTCAAAGGAAAGCTTGAATGTTCTTACATCTAAGAGCAGCTTCCATGAAAGAGAAAGGCAGTGAGATCACAGACGTTGGCTCATTATCATATGAACCAATATGAATCACAGTCACATTGCCACTGGCCTAGGGTGTGTTAGCTGAATCTCCTCTCTTCCTTGGTTTAAAAAAATCCTTTGACATCACAGCATTTGTCTTTGTGAGACTTCTGTGATTGGAAATATAGCAATCAAAAATTCAGTTTGTTCAGAAAGATCAGAAGCAATAGAAATGGAAGAGGAATTGCATTCTCTGTTTTAAAAAATCCCCCCTGTTCAGAAATCCAAGTGAATGAGCTTAATTCTCCATGTCCAGAATAATTCATCCTGAGTATTGAAAAAACATCTTGATGGTTTGGCCAAACCTTTGCAAAGTTTCTTTGGTATGTTCAGGAGAATGTGTGAAGGGCTGGGTGACATGAGGACAGCTAATGTTGCCTCTGTTTTGAAAAGGAGAAAAAAGAATTTGGGAACTGCAAACTACCAGGCACACCCTGATATCTGGGAACATTCTAGAGCAGATTCTAAAGTGACTGATCTATAAGCATCTTGGAAACAACGTGAACATTACCAGATGTCAGTAATGGGTTTGTCAAAACAAAGTTTGCCTAGCCAATTTTATTCATTTGTAGATGGGTGACTTCCATGATAATTTATGGGACAATTATAGGCATAATATGTCTTGATTTCAGCAAAGCACTTGACAAAATCCCCATTATATTACTTATTAACAAGCTAGTTCACTCTGTCTTGGATGGCATGACTATTAAATGGGTGCATAGCTGGCTCAGGGATCCTACTTTGAATTCTCATCCCTCATTTCTCATCCAGTTGGAGAGAGGAAGCAAGTGGAACATTACAAAATTCATTCTTGGCCTATTGCTCTTCTGTTTTTTATAAATGAGTTGAATGAGAGGCTGGCAGGGAGGCTTAGCAGATTTACAAATCACATAATTGAGTGAGATAGTTAATGTCTTAGAAATCAAAATGAAGATAAAATTCACAATGATATTCCTTGACTGAAAATAGAATTAAATTTATGGTTTTTCGTTAAGGAAACAAATCATGTTTTTTAAAAAATGTATTTATACATGCATTCTATTGCCACTTACTCAATAGATTCTAGATGCCTTAGAGTTATAACAAGTGCACAGATACCTGGCTTGGTAATAATGCTTGTGAAAAGGTTCTTTAAAATAGTAGCTGATTACCAATTAATTATTCATAAAGTCAGAATGCTCATAAAATCGGAGTTGCTTTAGTACATATTCCAGCTTAGTGAAGTTTGCAGAAAGAGATTTGCAGCAGCTAAGAGGTAAATCTCTATATTGATCACATCCTTTCTTTCAAGTTCAGAGCTCCACTATTCCACCTATTTCTTAGTCAGACAAAGATTAGCTTATGGGAAAATAGAAAGCTGTGAAAACTTCCACAGTTTATTTCCCTTAGCAAGAAAGAGATTGTGCTGAAAGTAGACACAAATATCCAAAAGAAGGGGAAGGACTTTACCAGGCTGTATGAAACCACACGCCAAGTCAGTCAACATGGACTCCTGTTGGAAGATCTTTTATCCTGCAGTGTGAAATAAATTGTATCCCAGTCTGAGGATGAACTAAAAGGAAGTCCAGTCTAACTGGAAGACTTTGGAACAGATCCGCAAGCATACTTTCTCTTACCTCACTGCATTTGAGATGTTAATCCTGCAATACCTGCTCCTTTTTTTTTAAAATCAGAACTGGCTCAAAAGGATATCGCCAACTTAGCTGTTACCTCATCCCAGTCTTGTAGCAATACTGAGGGTTTGGCAGAGACGTGAGTAGGGGAATGGTCTGCCAGAGGAAATCACCCAATACTGGCTTCCTAGAAATGTCTTGGGAGCCCCTTTTTCTTCAGATAGGAGAAGGGCTTGCAGTGCAGTTTCCTCAGCTGTGCCCAGGAGGTCCATTGTGTCCATCTGTGAGATCAGTCAAGCAGGAACTTAGCTGACATGGGCAGATGCTAAAGAAAACCTCAGCTACCGATCACCTCTTTTGCTGGGGCATCATCACAAGACGGAGCCACATTCTGAATCTTGAAACTCAGCAAAGCAGCTCTATTTCCACTTTGGACACTGCAAATATGTTTGATAATTTTCCTTTTGCTCTTTAATACAACTCCAGCATGAACAAGACCCCCCAAAGAAATTCAGGACATACTCTGGAGGTGGCATTTTGATGTACTTTACTATTTTTACCTCTTTTTCCTTTTCCTGTTTTTTTTTTTTTTAAATCCCTCTACCATGTTCGTTCTTTTCCTTGTATGTCCTGTCCTGCTTACATTTCAGGACTTGGCTCAGCTACTGAGAAAACATTTCTACTATCCTTCTAATCAACAGTCAAAGCAGGTTCCCAAATGCCAACTTTTAGAAGGTGAATTATTTATGGAAACCAGTTTAAATCCCTTGTAATTTGCATCCCTAAGGAGCAAAGCCAATGTCTAGGAACAGTTTTTTCAATTCTTGTGAAGTATCTGTTTTGTGTTCATCCATATGTGTATCTGTATATGTGTGTGAGTGTATATGTGTCAATATTATTGCATGCAGTTAAACAACTTTCCTCAGCAGCATTAAATCATAATTGCTGAACAGAAATTGTTTTCTTTGAGTCCTTTTATGAGCTTAGATTTTGTTCTATCAATTTAATTCCACAGTATTTTGTTTGCTTATTGTTTAGCAAAATAAGATATTATTCCAAATCAATTGGCCCAGGTACAAGTTTTGTTTTTGTTTTGTTTTCTCTTTGGTTCTTTTACTACATTTATTTTATTGACATTGTGTTGTTTTAAAGTAGATTCAGAATCACCAAGACATTTTGCAACACTTGATTACATAGAGAGTCCTGAAGAAATGTTCCAAAGGCGCAACAGTGATAAAGAGGTAATTTTCCTGTTACAGATATTTTCACAAAATCAGTATAGCTGATGGTAAGCTGAACAATGTTTGATCATAAGCAAAATGCTTAGAACTTCTGCCTTGGCATTTGTTAACTTCCCTGAGAATCTAATTAAAGATTGGGATACATCTGGAAACAAATCAACAGTAGCAACTGAAAGGATGTAAGATTAAATTTAGCACTGGGCATGAGTGTTAAAGAACAGAGTGCTAGAGAAAACAGCCAATTTTCATCACAAGGTTTGGCTACCACTGGTAACCAAGGCAAAATTGATTGCAATATTATTCACTTGGAAGTAAGCCTACAGGAATCAGCCTCAAAGTAAGCTCTCAGAACAGAGCGAGACTTAATTAAATAGTCCAGCAAAGTTTTGGAATGGTTGTCACTGATCTCCTTCCCAAGTTGGTTGCCATGTCTACCCATTATACAAGTCCTGACCTTTTTCTGTTGCTCTATGGGGGAAAGCTAGAGTTGCGTGAGGGATGGCATCTTGAAGCATCTCTGCTGACCATAGTCCAGCTCTAACCATAGGCATCTGCAGTTGGGGCAAAGAGGGGCAAGTGACAAAGCATGCATGGTGATGTCACAAAATGAAATCCATGACGTATGTACTTGCATCCCATACTTGTGATGTAAGTATGAAAGTGCATGTTTCATCATATTTGTGTCATCATAGTTAGGAGTGGTTGCCTATGTCTACTTTGGAAGTAGAAGAAAATCTGTGGCACCATTAAGTAATGGTTATGTATCTGCAAGAGCATTGCAGAATCTAGTCAGTCCACTTGGTCGTCTTTTCTTGCACTGAAATCCTCTGATGTTCAGAGGAACAACTTAATGGGGATGTTTTTACCTCCCTCCAGAGTTTCAAGCAACAAAGAACAGGAGAATTTTTCCCATCATCCATTGCAGAGGGAAGGGGGTCACTTGGCACAGCTAGGGGATGGAGCAGAGCAAAAATGGTTAAGATGCATTGATCACAGAATTATAGTTGTCTGAAGATTAGGAACAACAGGAATATCTAAAGGTAAAATAGGATTTGTTCATACTTTTACCTTTAGAAATAGATATTTGTTCTTTAATTCTTACTTCTCTACGAGTATCTGTTACTCGCTTGTTAAAAGACGGCAAGCAGATCATGTTATCATCATGTGATTGATTGACTTAAAGGAAATTTGTGCTTAGTCTAACCTTTTTGGGAAACAGGCACACAAATAGTTATCACAGAAGGAAAATTGTAAAAGCTTCTTCAGTGTCTCCTGAACTTGATAAGAACATTTTTTAAAAAGTATATGAGTCAAATTCTGTTTTCATGCTTTAATCTTAGAATGCCATTTTTTTTTTAAAAAAATCCTCCTTTTAATAACATCAGTATATGTGATTCTGGATTCCAAGATGACAGTTTTGGGATTCAGCCTTTGATTTGATTATCCTGTGGTGGTGCCCATCAGCAACAGTGATACCCAGCAGGCTACCTGACCCTTAAAATATTTTTTTTTAAAAAGTGACATAGGAAGATTATGTGCTACAAAGCAAAACACCAGCCTTTAGCATCATCTTGAGTTGAAGGAACACAGTGGGACCCTACAGAATCCCACTGGGAAGGTAGCTTGGCTTCCGATAAATTGATGTTTATAGCTATAGCTGTCATTTTGTAGCTAGGTAAGTCTGCACTCACCTCCTGCTCTTAAAATTTCAAATGTGCTTCCAGTCCAAAAACAAACTTAACCTTGAATTATGCAGTCAAAATAGATCAGGACTACTATACACCATTATTTGGGAGAATGTTATAATAAAATAACATCTTAAAAGCAGTGGCAGTAATAGTAGTGGGAATTTCTTTTTATGAACAACCAGCCCTGCTTCATAGGAATGCTCTCCTTACCGTGAGTCTACAATTTTTACCTATCCCTACTGGCTAATGCAAACATTGTGATCAATTTCTCATTGCCACCCCACCTCCCAACACCTCCCCCCAGATGGGAGCAAGCACTCAGGTTAGAGAAAGAACCTAAGGAATTCCCCACCAGCTTACAACAAGGGCTCCGAGAGACATCTAATTGTGGTGTTGAGCCACCAGAAGGAAAGGAAGGAAGGAAGTGGTAGAAGAGAACCTGGTGTAGTCCAATTTTCCTTCCACCTTCCTTTCTTACTGTTATGGTTTTGGGCTAGTTTGGCCCTCATAGTTTTGTTCCACTTCCAAACAATCCCCAGCCTTCCTTCCAACTAAGAAGCTGGGCTAGTGACAGAAATCACAGTTAGTCCTACCTCTAACCCAATTACCTCTGTACTGATTGAAAGGAAAATGGAAACTGAAGGGAAGGCTGGCTGTTTATCAATGGAGATGCAACTCTTGTCATGGAGGCCAGTGCCCAACTCTCCCCACACCAGTTTATTGCCCTCTCCAACTTCCTTATTGGACTATATTTTGAGAGTTTGATTTTAAGAATGGTATTTCTCTTCTGCCCATTTTGCATATGGGTAGTGCTGTTTTGGCTACATGAGCAGTGGTTCTTCAGCCTGACTGTCAGAAACAAAGGAGGGAGACGATCAGAGAAATGGACCCATCTTCTCCAAGTATCCTGACTACTATTATTTGTTGATTTCAATCTAATCTACTATATAGTATCTAATCATTGTTTCCCTAAACTTACTTCTGGGCTGTACTGGAGAGAGATTGTGTACTCTTTATTTTGTTTTCTAATATTCTTTTGCCAATATTAAATTGCTGTAAATTAGATGATTTATTGCCCATTTTATGCAATTTTATGGCAGAAACTTTTAGAGGACCAGAGACGGCTTAAACGTGAGCAAGAAGAGGCTGATATTGCAGCTAGAAGGCACACAGGGGTCATCCCTACGCACCATCAGTTTATCACTAATGAGCGCTTTGGGGACCTTCTAATTAGAGACGATACAATCAAAAGGAAAACTGGGTCAGAGGTCTGTTGTGGTTGCCTCACTCTGCTGCTTGACCCAATTCATAGTTGCCTTTCATAGCATTCTGCTTTTTGGCCAACATTAGCTATCCCAGGTGTTGATTTTTATTTTCCCTGTTCACACTTCACTTAGAAACTGCTTTGACCTTGTCCTCTATAATCCTCTAGAAAACTGCATACCTTAATGCATGCCTGCTAAGTAAGGAATGCTTGTGCACAACTGTGATGCATGCACTCTTTAAAGTGGCAGTTACTTTTATTGCAAATTAGAAAACATTTGCTTCATCTTTTGCAGTGCTGTATACAATGCTCCCTTCTCTCTTTACTGTACCATCTGCTTAGACCTTAATTGTCTTGTTTGATCTTAATCGCCTTAATTGATCGTGCAGTTCTATTGTGCATTATACACTCAGTAACTTTCTTCTTTCTTCAGGTCAGGCAAAATAAATGATCTTGTTTTAAAAAGGCAAAAGAAAACTTACTTTGCAAGGATTTTTCACAAGGGTTAAGGGAATAGATTAACTTGCCTTCACTGGAGGTGCTCATGCAGAAGCAAGACAGCCATATTTTACATGAAAATGCATTTATCTTTCTGGGGGGAAAAGCCATGTGAAGTTCCCATCTTTATTTCTTCCTTTCTTCCTGCCACCCATTCCATCTGATCAGGAACAAAGTGATCATTCCTGAGTTCTGGGGTATTGTCAGGATGCTTCCATGGTGCTGATAAAGATACAGTGTTGTGTGTTGCTTGGCTGCTCTCGCCTGGGTCTACCAAGCTCACAGCTACGCATTCCAGAAGGCCATTTTGTTCTATGGGTCACATTTGCAACTCAGAGCATTGCCTTCTGTGGTAGGATGTTCAGAGTCCAGCTTATTGTTGCCTCTCCATTATAGGAGAGTCCAACCATTCACTCAAATACATATAATCTACCTAGTAATACCTAGATCTGTTTTTTTCTTTATTTTTGATACAAACTACAAATCATTCTTCAAATGGTGATATTCATTTTGATTCTGCTGATTTTTAGGCTTTTGCAAACTTGCTAAAAAGGCTGAAGTGGTACTTCCTTGAAAGGTCTATTTCTCTTATTTTAGTGTACATTTGTTATAAAAAGTAGGGTTTTACCACTGTTAGTTGCCCAACAATTGGAACTGGATTCACCACTCATTTAAGAAAGGAAACTCTGACAGCATGCTTGCAATGTTGTGTATACCATTTCAAATAATGTGCTGAATGTTTGGCAATTTTTAAAAATTTTATTATTATTTTCAACCACTAGATGAGAGCTGCCAGAGTGAAGTTTGACTTTAAAGCCCAGACATTAAAGTGAGTATTGGTTATATATTTTAGCCATTTCTTTCCTTCCTTCTGATAATTATTTTATTTAAATGTAAACTGTTTTGCTGCCCATTAATGTCCTCAATACAGTGCAACAGTGTTTCACAACGCCAACTATTCTGACCAAGGGATTAGATGCAACTGCCCATTGACTATCACTGCTCCAGTGTTACTCCTCAACTGAATGCTATAGTAGCTCCTCTGCCCCCTTTGATGCCTTCTCACCCTCTGCCTTCATACAGCTTCCACTTCCAACCTTTCCATCACATAACACCATCATCAAGATGTTTATAGTTCCATTTGCCATCTCAGTTTCCAACTCCTTTCTCTTTAAACTTTCTCCAGATGCAATTTTGGTTCCACTTCTAATTCCTCCAGTTTCAAATCCATTATTTTCACTGACTTCCACCACTTCTCTTCTGACCAAGTATCCACTCATTCACCATCCACAAATCTGCCAGTCTTTAAATATGGGTAGATACTGCTAGTGCAATAGATTCTTTAGGTTTTAAGGACTGATATATACGTTTAGTTGTATGTTCTCTAATTGTTAATATTTGATGTTAATGTGGTTTTATTCAAAACAATTAATACATCAATAAATATGTTATTAACAGGGAACTCCCATTACAGAAAGGAGATATCGTTTACATTTATAAGCAAGTTGATCAGAACTGGTATGAAGGAGAACACCACGGCAGAGTGGGCATCTTCCCACAATCTTACATAGAGGTAGTGTTTCTTTATTAAGCTACCTAAGGTCAAAATTGCCTATCTTCTTTAAGATTTTTACATATGCCTTTTGCTTTTGTTTTGTAGTTACTCCCCTCAACAGAAAAAATCCAAACTAAAAAAACGTCACCGCTGCAAATCTTGGAATACGGAAATGCAATTGCCAAATTCAGTTTCAGTGGAGATACTGCTGTGGAAATGTCCTTCAGAAAGGTAGAGATAGCAGTTCTTATAAACCATCTTGAAGAATTTCATTTTCATGCAATCCACTGACATCAAACCAATTACAAAGGAAAGCAAATTGATGTTCTAAGCAGCGGATTGGAAATTTCAGAAGTTGAAAAAAACATACTCGCAGAGGGTTTTCTAAAAACGGAAGGTTTGAAGATAGTTGTCACATAATGTGAACTTTATGAGAACAAGCATGTTTCTTTACAACTTCTATTATTTTTGCATCCAAGTGACAAATAATATGCAATTACAGAGATAGGCAATACATTGAAAGCCAAAGTGGACAGGACATTATAGGAATGGGTGGTGCTAGGATTTCCAGCAGATTTTAATGTGTCTTTGGCATTGTTGGTTATTTAGTTAGGTTCAGTAAACTAATATACTCTGGCCAGAGTTACATAATCCACTTATTTGCCTGACAATAGAAACAACCGTGAGAATAAAAATCTCTTCTCTTTCTGTCTCTGCTGGCAGCCATTTCAGCTTGGAATGGCTTGGAGAAGATCTGCATTACACCTAGCCACATTTTAGCAAGTATTCCATATGTTTATCAATGGCTAGGATGGCATGTGTAAATCCAGAATTAATATTAATATTAAAGCTAGATATCCCAAGACACTTCCAAGGAAGGCCAAAAAAAAAAAAAAAGGTAGAT